TTTTTTTTTTTGGAGACAGGGTCTCACTCTCACACAGGCTGGAGTGCAGTGGCACCATCATAGCTCACTGCAGCCACCAACTCCTGGGCTCAGGCAGTCCTCCAGCCTAGCCTCCAGAGTAGCTGAGACTCCAGGCATATGCTACCACACCTGGCTAATTTTTAAAAATTTGTTTTTAATTCTTTGTAGAGTCAGGGTCTTGCTATGTTGCCCAGCTTGGTCTTGAGCTCCTGGTCTCAACTGATTCTCCCTCCTTGGCCTCCTAGAGTGCTGGGATTACAGGCATGAGCCAATGTGCCTGGCCTGTAAGGTTCCTTTTCTTTGCTAGGCACTGTAAGGGACTCAAAAATGAGGCTGGTCCCGTGGCTCACACCTGCAGTCCCAGCACTTTGGGAGACCAAGGTGGGTGGATCACCTGAAGTTAGAAGTTAGAGACCAACCTGGCCAACATGGTGAAACTCAGTCTCTACTAAAAATACAAAAGTTAGCCTGGTGTATTGGTGCACACCTGTAATCCCAGCTACGTGGGAGGCTGAGGCGTGAGCATCATTTGAACCTGGTAGGTGGAGGTTGCAGTGAGCTGAAATCGCACCACTGCACTCCATCCTGGGCGACAGAGCAAGACTCCATCTCAGAAAAAAAAAAAAAAAATGGAAGCAGCTTCTGATCTAAAAAAGGAGCTCACGCATGGTGATTAAAAGAACAAGTGCCTAAGTCGCTGAGGTAGAAAGAAATCAACTTGGAAGTGGGGTAGGAGGGAGAGGTAAGGGTGGGGCCGGCAAAGATTTCCCTAAGTGTAAGAATGTCTATGGTTTAGAGGGGAGGATTAGCATGTGCCCTCTCTGTCTCTGTCTCTTTCTCACCATCTCTTTTTCTCTCTGCCTTTCTCCCTGTCTTTCTTGACTACAGTATTTTTCTCATTTCGTATTCCAGGCAGCAGTCTTTGCAAATTCCACAGTGAAACTAAGATTAATAAAACATAGCTAAACAGTGTGCTGCCGAGCTGTTACTGTGCTTCTTTTCAGTTAAAGCTTTTTATTTTGTCGTTAGCATGAAGCTAGAAGAAATGCAGCCACTTTGCTAACAGCTTTAAGCATCATACCATGTAATTCCATGTAATTGCTTTTTAAGTTGTTCTTTATCAACAAGCCTTTTTTCCCCTTAGCTGAAAGCAAAGCAAAGCAAATAAATGTTGCTTCATGTTGACTACATGGTAGATTGGGAGATGGAGGTGCACCTTTTTTTTTTCTTGAGACAAATTCTTGCCCTGTCACTCAGGCTTAAGTGCAGTGGTGCAATCATAGCTCCTTATAGCCTCCACCTCCCAGACTCAAGCAATCCTCCCACCTCAGCCTCCTGAGTAGCTGGGACCACAGGCATGAGCCATCATGCCTGGCTGATTTTGTCCATTTCTTGTGGAGGTGGGGTCTCGCTATGTTGCCCAGGCTGGTCTCAAACTCCTGGGCTCAAAGGATCCTTCTGCCTTGGCTTCCCGAAGTGCTAGGTTTACAGGGATGAGCCACTGCACTCAGCTGGGATGCACTTTGTTCAGTAACTATGGAGAATTCCCAGAAAACCAGGCTAGTGGTTTATATCCAGGAATACTCAAAGCTTTAGAAGAAAAGAGAGAGAGGCCGGGCGCGGTGGCTCAAGCCTGTAATCCCAGCACTGTGGGAGGCCGAGGCGGGTGGATCACCAGGTCAAGAGATCGAGACCATCCTGGTCAACA